AAATGGAGCTGCACTCACAGTACCAGCAGCCCGCACCAAAAGACTGAAAAACTCTTTCCTACACAAGGCAATACGCCTGTACAACGAGTCATTGTAGCAATGACTTTCAAGACTCTGGACTTTACTTCAGTGCCCTTGTGTATTGTGTGATTTTGTAACATGTTCGTTTGCGTGCCTGTATATGTATTGTCATGTAAATGTGTTTGTATCTATTATGTACAAAATTTGTAAAAATCAGTGTAATTCAGCTTGGTCGACTTTGTAAACTGGCTGCAAGGCTGATTTTATTAATAAAACTTGAAACTTGAAACAAAATGGAGGAGCGTGCAAGTTTACTTTGTCAATTTTGTCTGCCCTGTGCTACACATGTCATGTAAACTGTACTCTGGGTGCCAGACTGTTGCCCGGGCCTGTATAAATACAGGCTAGCTCCTTGGCCCCAGGGCCAACATGTCACCAAATTTATGAAATAATATCACAGACACCCCTCAGTTTATAATCTTATAAAACCATGAACAACGCTTCTCATGTTCTAGCTGGGGCTGGCTTCTTTTATGGTGGTGACGTGGCCTGTGCATATCGACTCTAGCAACAGTCTGGTATATCCTGGCCAGTACACGTGCTCCTGTAACATGTAAATTCTGTTTTCCCCACCTTTGGCCACAGCCCTCTGCACCAGCAAGGTGTGAACCTGGGCGTCGCTGACGAACTTCTTCAGACAGTCGACGCTGGCCTTGTCCGCGAGGGCCGCGTTTAGCGCCGCCGAGCCCGCGTCACTGTCCTCCAGCAGCAGCGGCACGACTTTCCTGAGGTGGGAGACCAGCAGGGAAGGGTCTGCCGCCACGGCGCTGCTCTGGCCACGGTCCCCTTCGCTCTCTGTGTCCGCCATGTTTAGCGGGGTAGCACGCCCACCGGTATTACAAACCGGTGCGCTACGCGGTCCAGGTGCACACAAACCCCGGGAAAATTCACTGAGCTTGCCTCCTTTAGCCTCTAATCAAGATGGGAACGGGTGACAAACGCAAAATGCTAGGAAACTTGTGTAGAACGACAAACCGCCTTCTCAAACCGGCCCAGTTCTGGGCCCTACTAACTCAGAACGGATGACGTCCCGTCTGGTTCACACACTTCCTATCCAGCATCCTTTGCGCTATAAGGACCTAAAAGAGTTTCTGCGGTGTATGGATATGATTATTGAGTTGCCAATATTGACTCAAATTCCCACTTTATTGATATCAAACATATTCAATAGATAAGGTACATCAGTAGTAATCATCTTAGAAAATACTTTCTGCTACTTCTCTTGACTATAATACATTTTTTCTTAACCTGGTTCCCATAAAGACCCCCGTGTACCCTAATCGTGTTGGCTGGTGCACACTTGCCGGATTTATCATGTGATGTTGTATGATGTCATGAGTAGAGTTGATTTATTTCTCACCTGTATTTCTCACCTGTATTTCTCACCTGTATTTCTCACCTGTATTTCTCACCTGTATTTCTCACCTGTAGCCGGTCAATAGGTACCCTGTGTGGGTAATGGACTTGAATTGTTCTTCAATCAATAAATGTTTACATTCAGCATGAGCTTATGTGTGGGGTGAACAAATTTGCGTGAGGTGTAACCATGGAGGTAGAAAAAAGGAATTCTACCTCCATATGGTGTAACACAGTTAACTGGGCCTGCAAGCCCTTTTCGTAAGGCGTAATCAGGCCGTTTTAGACTTCGTAATTCGTAGGCAGCCTCCGCAAAAATCAACGTAATTCGTAATTGGACATTAGCGGCAAATCGTAAAGTCGTAATCAGCTCTGAGACTTTAACGTAATTCGTAATAGGCGGCGAAAATTTTGCGTAATTCGTAATCACTACCCCCCCCCCCTTGCAGGCCCTCAGTTAACGTTACAAATTTCCAACGGAGTGCTTTCCTATGAGAACTCTGCAAAATTTCGCCCCTATCTATGAAGGTTAATCTACAAACACTCAATATAAAAGCCAGTCAGGTCATGATTTTCTCTCTGTCTTGCGGTCAAGTTTCTCCATAAATTTTCTTCCATCTTTTCGTTTGACCTTCTTTCATCTTTGCAAAGAACATTGCTCCGTGACCTCCGCGGCCCTCCCCGAAGTGAGGCTGCCGAGGGTTCACGGAAATTACCGAGGGGCTCTCCGCCCGAGATCGGCAACGATCGTTTCCAGTCGGGGCAGTCGCGAAGAACGAATCATGCAAGATGGCGTCGGAGACGAACTGCTGCGGTCAGGAAAGCTGTCCTTCCAACTACACCCTGCACGACATGTTC